TTTCTTAGCCCCTCCCATTTGGACACTGTAGATACGTTCCCACAGCCGCATGCTACGTTCCCGTGATCGCCATGCCCTTGCCTTTTCTTTCTCGCCCTTTGTTCTCTCTTTGTCATCTTCACTGCCTCGCTCTCGCGCCTTGTCCTTGGTTGCTAAGCAGCCCCTCTAGTATATAAGGACCCCCTTAGGCGCTCCCTAGTCCCCATCTCGACCTCTTGGTCATTGGGACTAGGTGAGTGACCATAGCATTGTACTTCCCTTCGAGTGTTAATGTATAACTTGGTCATTGGGACTAGTCTGTCGCTGGTTGCGTGAAGACTAGCTTTCGTCCGTCTCGTGCCTTCGTGCCGACCGCCGCTCTGCCCCGTCGAGTTTTCTGATATGTTTATCCCTCTTACCCTCTCTTCTCCCCTTTCAGCTCCTCGCCGCTCGCCTACGAGGTCGTCGCCGAACGACGACCTGAGTCTACGCGCCCAGTCGCTGCGACAGGCAGAGGGCCTCATCACGGGCCTTCATCATGTAGGGGTGGGACTCTCAGGGAAGATGGCATGGGCGTTGGAGTGTTGCATAGCATTAGCCGTCTATGCCAAGACGGTCATAGAGAGCGCGGTAAGCAAATCATTGACGGAAGCTGTACTCACCCGCTTTGAGTCGCAGACAAAAGAACTCATCAGCACCCTGGAGGCGAGGGTGGCCGCCGCTGGCGACCATATTGCTGAACTCACAAACGAGCTGGCAGGGGTTGCGGAATGTGCAAAGGAGAAGATTGAAGGGGCTGTAGAGAACATTCAGGAGGCAGGACGCACAGGCCTCCCCCTCGGTGAGTCATCACCTGGCTCTCTCCCTTTCTCCTATGCGGAGGCTGTAAGAGCCAGCCTCCCTAGTACCACACGAGCTGCGCACTTGAGTGTTGTAGACCGGGAGAGCATCCGTGCGCGACAGATCCTTATCGATGGCTTCCCTGGGAACCGCGATGGCACACTCTCAGAGATGGAGATTCTAGAGCAGGCTAATGACGCGCTTGATTACCTCTCGAGAGAAGAACTTGACATTCCGGAAGGCCTCCGCTTTACTGCAGCGAAGGCCCTCCGGAACGGGGGAGTAGTTCTGGAGCTCGCCACACCAGACCTGGCGAAGTGGATAGTGCAGCACGCACGCGATTATGAGTTTGTGTTGAGCCCAAGGGCAAAGATTTGCCCTCGCCAGTACAAGTTGGTTGCAGAGTTACACCGGTTGGGTTAGATCCAACTGATACCACACAATGACGACAGACAGAACTGGATCTTGATCTTCAGGAAGGGGCAATTGTGGATGCTCGCTGGATTAAGCCAATTCACAAGCGGTACCAAGGCCAACGTTTTGCTCACCTATTGGTTACGCTCTCCTCTTCAGAAGCAGCCAACAAGGTTATCCGAGCAGGTCTGGTACTAGCGGGCCGCCATGTAAGTGTAAGGAAGAACCTAGCAGAACCATTGAGGTGCTCCAAATGCCAGCGCTACGGTGCAGGGCACCTGGCCAAGGAATGCCCTCAGGAACGGGATACATGTGGGACATGTGCACGCTCACATCGAACAGCAGACTACAAGATACAAGAGCCGCAGCAGTATCACTGTGTGAACTGCAATGAGAAGGGTCATGCCGCATGGGACCGGGAGTGCCTGGTATTCCTAGACCATCTAGGCAAGTTAGATGCTCGCTGCCCAGAGAATCGCCTCCAATTCTTCCCTACAGGCGACCCAGATTCATGGGTCCCTAAGATGCACGATAGAGCTGCCTCCGCTACAAGAGTTCAGCTGAGGGATGTTGTAGAGGAAGGTATTGAGAAAGGACCAAGGGCGCCCTCGCAACGTGCTAGGGCGCAGAAAGAGCGTGCACGCATGGTGCAGACGCAGCTCCCGTTTGGTTCACAAAGGTCCCGGGTTGATGACACAGACACTTGACACAAAACATGATAGCGCACAGACAGACGGTACTGCTAATATCCCTGTTTCTTTTTCAGGATGTGAAGAAAGACAAGCACTGAGCCACAGTGCTCCAAACTGCTGCGCTGAGCCTTTCCCATTCACGACTTCTCAAGTATGGACTGCTGCGCTGACATCACTGATACTTTCCCAGGTTATGCTCACTGGCACATGTGTGCAGTACGATACAACGTCCCTATATACATTTGCTGGCCATGCATGTATCCAAGACTTCAGATCCCTTGTACCTATGCGTTGTGGGCGTCCGCCCGCTCTAGGGGCGGGGGAGTTCTGACGAACGGCGGGGATACCGCCGGGCGTACTCCTGACCGCAGCAAGAGGCGAGTCCCAGGGACGCAATTGTACCCATCGGGCGGCAGGTTTGCAACCCGCACCCTAGCCTTCACTGGCCAAGGGTGGACGGGCGGTCGCAACGCATAGATACTGAGCCCTGCCACTCACCGATCCTTCACTAGCATACCTCTGCACTCCACCCCTTCCGGTCTCCGCCCAGCCCTTCCCCTTGCACCATTCGTCACCGCTACTTCCCCATTACATCCCCCTAGTTTGCTCGAGCCTCGTGCTCACATTGTTCCGCCGAATACCCACTCTTCTTCGTGTAGACAGTCTTTGTGTTTTAAAGCCTACCATGAGGCGCGGCCTCGCAGGGCAATAAACGGGATCTAGAAAGAGAGAAAGGTACGATTGAATCCGCCCTCGGCAAGCTTCGACAAGCTGACTACATCATCAGCGCCTTGGTTGACGGACTCGGCTGCAAGTCGACGTAGCCCGTCGACATCGAAAGCGACCCTGCGCTCTTTGTGGCGAAGAGCGTCGTTATAGCTGAACGATAGACATTACAGATGTTTGTGAGTAGAATAGAATGTACAAGACCTACACCCAGCGCCCCGACGTGTAGTTGAAGATATCGTTCTGAAAATCCGCCATAGTGGACAAGGCGCGACGTGGCAGCGACACTGTCATGGTAGAGACATTGCTCGGTGAGGAGGAGAAAAACAGTCGCAGATTGGCTGGAGCTTTGAGCAGGTGGAAGACGAGTCTCGCCTTCCCAAGGCAGCTGAGCATGCCCCACAGGTCGAGGTGAGGTAGCTACGACTCCGTCTTCTAAGAAAGTTGGCGGTAGTGGGAAGGACGGGGGAAGCGGGCCGAGGGCCGACTCCCGAGGCCTGCGACAGTCGTGCGAAAAGCCTCTCCACGTGACTATCTACATGCATGAAGAGGCGCCGACACGGCTACCGTTGCTGCTCGGTCGATGAGGACGAGATGGATTCTACCGGTCCACCTCCTGTAGGGTTTACTCATGGTCGTTGGCTGACGCCATACGATTCAGTCTCTCCCGAGAAGCGACCTCTCGTATCGGCAGACAGCGGTGTAGACGGTTCCTCACCGTCCAACGGTGACTGTAAGTCCGGTCACTATGTCTTGCAAGACAGTACCGAGAGCACATGGAAACGACATATGTCTTTGCGTCGCTGCAAATCCTGGGTTTTTCTGGCTCTCCTCGCCGTATACCTCTTTTTCCTCACTTCGTCTCCGACTGCTCCGGCAAGAGAAGCCGATCCCGTTCGCCGATCGAACGGTTACTCCGACATCGTCCAGTGGGACAACTATACCCTGTGGATCCACAATCAGCGCATTTTTCTCCAGTGAGTCTAGAGTGACCGGACCTGGTGTGAAGTCTCGCTGACTATGGATGACCAGCTCCGGAGAGTTCCACACATTCCGTCTCCCAGTACGCGAGCTGTGGCTTGATATTTTCCAGAAGATGGTCGCAGCCGGACTCAATGGCGTCAGGCGAGCATATGTGAGACTATCCAAAACGTGTGGAAGCTGATCATATTATGCAATACAGTATCTACGTCCATAGTACATCTTCCCCGACCTTGAACCTTGTCGTGGCATACTGACCTCACATCAGTGGGCCTTACCAATCCTTCACGCGGAGTAGTCGACTTTAAGGATTGGCGAGCCCTCAAGCCAATGTACAACGCTGCCAGTGAAGCAGGCCTTTTCATCGTCCTTCGCCCAGGTGAGCTGTATGCTTCCTTCGTTTCCTTGCAGCGTCGCTGACAGCGTCCTATACAGGCCCTTACGTAAGTGCTCGAGGGATACCCCAACCGACGGCGAGCGGATTGACTTGACCGACGGCAGATTAATGCAGAGACGAGCGCGGGCGGCATCGCGCACTGGATCACCACCGAAACTGCGGGTGAGGTCAGGACGAACGCGACGGACTGGGTTGAGGCGTACGAGCCGTACATCGACGGTGTCATCAAAGAGTCTGTAGATTACCAGATCACGAATGGAGGCCCGATCATTGGTGTGTCTCGAGCTGTGTATGTGTATCTAATGCTGACGAGGAGTGCCTGCGGGTAGCGGTGCAGATCGGTCAGTAGGACTAGACGTGGACGTCCGATAAGGTGCAAGAGCTAAGGACTGCACAGATAACGAGTACGACCAGAGCATCTCGCACCAGCTGTACTTTCAGCGACTTGAAAATCAGTACCGCGAAGGCAGTATTGTTGTCCCTCTGTAAGCTTCACACTTGCGTATCGTCAGGAAAGCGCTACACTTACATCGACGCCAAGGACATACAACGACCCTAATGAGCGCGAGGCATTCATCAATGGCACCGGCGCAGTTGACATCTACGGAATGGTGATTCTCTCGTATTCCTTTGTGCTCTCCCAGCGTTGTACCCAATGCGTCATTACAGGACGCGTATCCGCAAGCGTTCGACTGCTCGAACCCCCTTGTCTGGAAGAACGTCAGTATGAACTATCACGCGTACCACGAGAAGGTCAACCCGAGCCAGCCATGGTACATGCCTGAATTCCAGGCCGGCGCATTCGATCCCTGGGCAGGGCCGGGGTATGAAGCGTGCGCAGTGCTGACGGGCCCGGACTTCGAGGACGTGTTCTACAAGCATAATTGGGCCGCAAACGAGAAGCTTGTAAACTATTACATGATTTATGGGTGAGCTTGCACTTGCTTCGGGTCCTTTAGCGATTTTGGGGTGTCGCTTATCGACCGAGCAGAGGAACGAACTGGGGTGGGATTCCCTTCCCGGGCGTATACACCAGGTACGTATGTACCAGTAGGCGGCCCTTGTGTCTACTGTGGCTAACGAGGTGTGCAGCTACGACTACGGAGCGCCAATCCGCGAGAACCGCCTCCTCACGGATAAGTACGACGAAGTGAAGCGCCAGGGCATTTTCCTCCGCTCCTCACCTGAGTTCCGCAAGACAGACTGGATCGGAGACTCTGCGTCTGGGATTCCCGAAGTTACTATCGACAATGGCCTGGTGTATGGTACATACTTGCGGAACCCCGATACAGGCACTGGGTTCCTTATCACTCGACAGAACGACTCGACGTCTGCGTACGCACTTAGCCTCTTGTCCAAGAAGGCAGATGCTAATCCAATTTCCACATGATCAACAGGGCCAACGTCGCGTTCACGGTCTCCCTCCCCACCTCGCAGGGAATTCTTACTCTTCCTACGACGGCCGACAGTATTGTACTCCACGGACGTCAAAGCAAGCTCATCACCACCGACTACACGTTTGGGACCAAGGGAGCCCTTCTGTACACCACTACCTCAATTTTCTTCGCGGGCACCATCGGGCCCCGGGACGTCATTTTCCTCTATGGTCATGTTGGCCAGTCTCACGAGTTCTCGTTCATACCGTTGGGAGATGGTGTCGGCACGACGTCATCTCTCGTGCAGCTGAGCAAGTTAGCCAGGCGCCCGGCGACGACGGTGACGATCCTCCCTGGGGTCCAGGGCTTGATTACGGTATGGGAATCCCCTGAGCAGCTCGTCCTCTACTCCGATCCCGTCACTGCGGCGACGTTCTGGGCTCCTCCCATTCGCTCCCCGAGCGTCGACATCATCGAGGGGTTGGAAACGTTCTGGCAGTTCGGTACGAACACGACCGTGCTCGTTGGGGGGCCCTACCTAGTGCGCAACGCCTCCCTCGAGGACAGTGGAACAACACTCGCGCTGGTCGGGGACTTGAACGCGAGCGTCCCGCTCACAGTCTTCGCACCCCAAGAGGTGACAGCTGTGACGTGGAACGGGGAGCCTGTCGGCACCATGACGCAGTCAAGGTCTAGCGGGCTTAGGGGAATGTTAGTGTTGAAGAGCGGGATTCGAGACGTGAAAGTGCCGGAATTGACAGGGTGGAGGTACGCTGATAGCTTGCCAGAGGTCAAAAAGGGATATGATGATACCGAGTGGGTCGTTGCGGACAAGAAGAGCACGAATATTCCAATCAAGCCGGTCTTTGGGGATGGGAGGGTCTTGTATGGGTGCGACTATGGGTTGTCAGTGTGCATCTCATTGGCAGTAGGAAGTTGAGAGAGGAGATCGCTCATATGCATATAGCTGCGAAAACATCGTCCTCTGGCGCGGACACTTCAATGCGACTGGGTTAGAGACCGGTGCCAATTTGACCATCTATGGTGGCGAATGTTGGTCCCGCATTTCTCTGGTCTCACAATCTCGTTTACTGATATTCACGACATCCCACAGGTTTTGCTGCTTCAGTCTGGATCAACGACAAGTTCATCTCGTCCGTTTATAGTCCTTCCGAGCACGTCAACCACCTCTTTAAGTTCCCCGAGGATGCCCTCATCGTGGGCGAAGACAATGTTATGACCGTCATCCAAGACAACATGGGTCTTGACGAAGACGACAACGAGAAGTCGGCGCGCGGCATTGCCGGGTTCGCCCTCGTTGGCGGAAATACAACATTCGGAACGTGGAAAGTTCAAGGCAAGGTCGGGGGGTACCTGAAGTATGTCCTGTTTCCTGTGAACGATTCAAGAGAGATCGGTATTCTGACTGAAATCTAGCTATCCGGACAAGGTGCGCGGGCTCTTCAACGAGGGCGGCTTGCACGGCGAACGGAAAGGATGGCACCTTCCCGGGTTCGACACCTCTGGCCCGGAATGGACTCTGCGCGAGCTCTCGGATGGTCTGCCCGGTGGCAGCGCGGGCGTTGGATTCTTCGTGACGACATTTGAGCTAGATATCCCTGGTTTTACAGACACGCCCATCAGCTTCCAGTTTGAGGAGACAAATGACCAACCGTACCGGGCACTGCTGTTTGTGAACGGGTGGCAGTATGGGAAGCGCGCGGCAAACATCGGGCCGCAGACGAGGTTCACTGTTCCACAGGGCATCTTAGACTATACTGGAGAGAAGTACGCCAGTCTTGTCTTTGTTGCGTGGTTGCGCTGACAATGCTGCGCAGCTGGGTAGCGATCGCTCTATGGGCACTGAACGATACCGCAGTATCGCCGACTCTACAGCTTGCTGTGGACGCCATCATCGAGGGAGGCGTTGGCCCGATCGCGTCCAACAATCCCGTATGGAGGTCATTGAGGCCGTAAGGAGATGCAGAAGTGCAAGATAGGAAGGCGGGAGGCTCTGCAAGCGTCGAACTGTTGAGGATCGGATGGACTGTATCGAATCACTAAAGCCTTCGAGATGCTTGCCTATTGATATCCAGACAGTGCATTGTAGGAGTTAGAGAGAATGCTCGTATCTTTCAGGACACCCGTGGCACCTTGGTCCGCTGTTTCGCGAATGCGACAGCGATTGTACTTGCTCCGATGGCCAATGCACGAGATCTGCCGAACAATCCACAGCCTGAGCGCCATACCCAAACTTGCCACGAAGAACGTATAATCGCCTCTAGCGAGAGCTCAGAGATGCGGGGGGCAGCGACGCAGGAGGCTTCTCACAAGTAACAGCCCATGTAACACCATACCGGTGAGATCAGGAGAGCATTCCGGGGAGCATTCATACGGCGCCTTTGTCCAAGTAGCCCAAGAGAACACGCCGTTTTACAAGTGTACGAGCAAGTAGAGCACAGATGGAGTATGAATCGGGATCTGTTGCAGCCCTGTCCACCAGGCCCCCCAAAAAAGTATGAATGCAGTGATATCACTGCCAGCGCACTGACAGCCATCGTGAGAGGCGGTAAGTAGGAGACACGGCCCTGGCCTATGATTAAGTACCTGGCGCGAGGCGTGAGCGCTAGCCGAAGGATTATGTAATTCATAAGCGACCACCCGGGACAAACCAAAGCTCGCGACTTGTGATAGTCATCCGCCAGGCGGTGAGCGACCATCATACCGCTACTAGGCTTAAAGAGACCAAAAGGTATGTGTGAGGAGGCGCCAGGGGCTGAAAGGAAAATCTCACAGAAGCGACTCGGAAATCCAAGTTCCAGGTGAGTTGTCGCTGCTAGCTAGATCATCTCACTGAAGAACCTGACGTCCGCTCCAGATGTTCCGGAATCTCAGATAGTTTCCTGAGTGTCGTAACGACTGCTTTGTGGCGTCGCTTTTGGAATTGTCTTCGTCTTTGTTCTCGTCTGGATAGCAGTCAAGTTAGTGACTTACGGGAAGATCACAACCTCGCAGCATGACCACCCCAATGTTCGAGCGCGTTTCAGAGATTCAAATCGTCCAACGAACCATAGTCAGCCGGTTTCATGGAGACAGATCCTGAGATGTGCTTAGTGGTGCGGCTGAAAGTCCTCCCGTCCGGCTCTCTCTAGATATGGGAAGCGTAGCGCCCGCTGCAGGCGCGTAAGTTCTAGCAAAAATTGTTTTTACATCTCATTTCTACTCTACGCTCACCAGTACTGCTAAAGAACGATATGAAGGAGCACAGTCATACTGATGGCCAATCAGAATCTGCATTCGAGCTGGAGACGCTCCCCCAATATGGCGACGGCTCGACATCGACTCCTAGGACGCTCTCTGCGCAATCGTCCATGGCTGCGTTGCGAGCCGATGATCCTCAAGAAGGGGCGAACGTTCAAGAGCTAGCACCTGTGGATCGCGGAATACAAGCATGGACGTTCTGTGGCGCAGGATTTGTGCTGGAGATGATGGTGTGGGGATTCGGTTTCAGGTTCGTTGTGAAGTGCCCGTCGTTCGACAGTGTCATCACACTCACTTGCCTCTGTGATAGTTACGGAATATTCCAAGGTGACACATTTTTGGCGATCATACTTAGACATAGCTGATCGAAGAACGTGATAGAATATTACACTTCGAACCCGCCATTCAATAAGGAATCGCCTGTGGCGATCGCTGCGGTTGGCACCGTTTGCCTTGCCATCGAGTATGGGGAGGTTAGTACAACATCTTCAGCAGTATAACTTGTTTCAAATACTTACGCTGCTTCTAGATTTTCTTCCTATACTTTTTGCTACGCAAATACCCGGACTACGTACGGCTATCTATGTGGTGCGGGTTGGCGATCTACTCAGTCTCGCTCTTTACATCTAGTTTTGCCACGCGAGTACGTCTGCATTGCATAAGTCATCGGCGTTTGTCCATTCATCTCTGATCGCAATCGCACTATATAGGTGTGGCAACTGATATTGCTCCAAGGTATTGGCGTGGGCGTCGGAGGCGGAGTTATGTACATGCCCATCATCTACCTTCTTCCTCAGTGGTTTTCGGAGCGTCGCGGACTCGCTGGGGGCATCATATACTCTGGGATCGGTGTTGGAGGTATGTTGTTTATGCCAGATTGTCCCCACCTTGTCGCTGCACATTTTACTTTCCGTAGTTCTACTGACTTCCTTGCGATTTACAGGTTTCGTCTTTCCGTTGATCCTCAACGGCCTACTGAGCAAACTGGGGCTCTCTTGGACCCTTCGCATATGGGCAATCGGGTCTTCGATCTGTTCTGCTGTTGCATTGTTGGGCATGAGGCCGAGATTGCCGGTCCCTAAGTTCAACGCTAGCAGCCGTCGGCCGAAACTGATCCCGAACAGATTGGATTTTTTCAAGACGTCGCTCTTTTGGAGCTTCGTGAGTGCCGTCCCTTATACCATTTCGCGCTGACACTAATGCTCTTTTTGCATAGGCGATCACGACTCTTCTCCAAGGTCTCGCACACTTCCCCGTGTCGCTTTACATCGCTACGTTCGCCCGCGCCCTCTCTGACCAACTCACATCGACGGTCATCCTCTCGCTGTTCAACGCATCTGCGTTCCTAGGCCAGATCGTCATCGGATATCTAACCGATCGTATACCATATCCTTCTATCATGGTCTTCAGCGCGCTCGGAAGTAGCCTTGGTGCCTTCCTCTTGTGGGGACTCGCAGATAGGGTCATCTACCTTTACTTCTTCGCTATAGTCTTTGGAAGTCTGGTGAGTACTTCACGCTGCCAGATGTCTCACCAAGCGCTCATACGTGCCGACGCACAGAGTGGCGGCTTCACATCGACATGGACTAATGCGTCGTATGAGTGCGCGGGGAGTTCGCTCGAGTTCTCGGGGATGGTGTTCTCGAGCATGACTCTCGCGCGCAGTGTGTCGGCTGTCGTTGGGCCGATCATCTCTGGAGTGCTCCTCGAGGCTGGCGCGGACACTTCGATGGGAAATAGGTTCGGCAAGTTCGGGTATGGGGCGATAGAGATATTCGTAGGGTCGTGCGCGTTGGCCACGGGGGTGGGAAGCGTCGCGGTCGCAATCGCGCGGCAGCGAGTTGCGGTCGCGCGGGTGTCCTCGTGATCAACGAGATACTTGTCTAGGACGAAACCGGGCGAAGATGTCCCAGCATTCACCTCGTAGCGCTATCTAACTTGCCCTTTCGGTTTCTTGGGATATTGCCGCGGTTGTTGCTCCACAGAGATAGCCTTCGCCGATCGTCGACCCAACAGCTCCACTTCCTTGACTAGGCCTGGGTCATGTGATTTGTCGTATCGCATAAGAAGCGCAAAGCCGCACTGGGACCTTCTTTACCTTCCTCCACTATCGCCATGAAGGTGCTCGAGGGCGCCAGCCCCGTCGAACTGCTTGCAGTTCCCGGGTGGCTGGTGGATGAACCCGAGCTCCAGAAACGAGGGATTGTGCCTGTCGAGTGTTTGAAACCGGTCAGTATTGTGGCTATCCGAGCGCTGATGTGTCTCATCTCCTCTTCGGTAGTCAACGGTGTTCTGTACAAGCTGGTTCACGACCCCGCAGTACGTCGTGAAGGTTGTCCACAGAAATGTGACAGAGGAAGTGGATATATGCGCGTTTCTGCAACAAGACCCGGCTTCGTCGGATAACCACATCATTCCATGCGAGGTCGTTCGCTCTCACAAGACCTCGCTGGTCATGCCGTACCTGCCTTCTGTGGGTACGCTCCTGCGCATAGACGATGACTGGCTGGCCGCTCTCCTTGAGGTAACCCGCCAACTGTTGGAGGTGAGCTGCGTTTGTCACGGAGAGTGCTTGTTTGCTTCGTTTCCCTTTCAATGACTGACGAAAGCGCGCAACACAGGGAATCGAGTACCTGCATCGGAATCGCATTGCGCACATGGTACATCCTGACAGCGTCTATGCGGCGCGCATATATATGACTGAACACTGTGCTTAGGATATTTGTACGGGTAACCTTCTAGCTGGTACCTCTCGTGAGGCGGGCTTCGACGGCCGAATTGCAGACGGAGGGTTGTACATCATCGACTTCGACCGATCCCGGCGACTACCCCTTGGTCCTGGAGAACAAGGTGCCATTCCTCTCCCGCCAACCCAGTTCGTTCCACCTCCGGGGATCACGCGTCTCGACCCTTATTCCTGGGACGTATATTGCGTTGGCCGGGTCCTCGAGTTCCTTTTGAAGGTGACTTTGCATCACACACACAGATGAGAAGGCTGCTGACCTCAAACATGCATAGACCAGACCGGACGAGACGCCCCCCTGGATTGCTCAGCAGCTAATGTTGTGGCTGAAGGGTGACGAACAAGGGTGCACCGGCGTATGTCACTGCCGACCTACGGCACGAAGAGCGCTACGAGTAGTGAATGCAATCAAATGGTGCATTCGTGCGGCTGACTTTTGCGGGAATGCGGTTGGCTATCTGAAGGACATGTTGAGATCGCATCTGGGCTCCCGAGTTTGATTGGGACTTATCCTTATTTCGTACTTATCGCATTCCTTCACGGACCTGCTGTTGTCTTAGTAGAACTTAGAGCATAGACGCGACTTGCGTAGAAGTGTAGGCCCAGTAGTTGTACCCTATAGATTTGTAGTAGACGTGCCTTGTCATCAATTTCACCACTGCCACTGGCAGTGTCGAGCTCTGAACCATATTCAGACATCGGAGTCGACTTGAGGATTCGATAGTGCTGGAACCGCGTGGGATCGAATATTTTCAAACTTATCGGTTGAAACTGGCTGAGGCTATGATCAGGTCGTGGATTGTGGTGGCTGCATTGCACGGAGTGGTCGCATTCGGCGCCTATAGGTGGCTCACCGCAGCTTCCTCGGATACAACCACGTGGGTAGCAGTGCGTCGCCTGTCGCCGAACCTGTCCCGTTGACTCGCGTCTTGTCACCAGATTGACCTATTAATCTCGCAATCCTTGGTTCCCAGTGCTGTTAGATGACCTTGTACCCTTCTACTTCCGCACTGTTTCTACAAATTGCCGTTTGACCTGCTTGCTCATGTGTTTGTTGGGATTCCAGCGCTGCACCACAGGACGCGACGGTCCGAGCGGCGTGCGGCGGATATCGCTCCGTATGTGATGGTCCCAGCAGAAGACAGGTACGAGAGTATGAAGCGGAGGATACACATGTTCAGGAAGGAGTCCGCACCGGTGCAAGTGGTCATACGCCACGAGTCCTTTTGGTGCGTAACCCACCTGATCCTACTTATACTCCTGGGCTGCCCATCTCGTAAATCCTCCCCTGCATGCCGCCGGTCCGCTTTCTGAATGTTTCCCGCGCCGCTGTCCTCTGGTCCCGTGGTTGTGATGTTATGACGTGATATGCACCAATATATACTCGAGGTCGCCAGGATCACAGAGGTCGAAGGGGCCGGAGCCATGTTCCAGCTTCTCAGTACTGTATGGGCACGTCTGCGTCCAGCTTTGCTTGTATCTCTTCTCGTCGCATGGTCGAGTATTCTCTGCAGCAAAACCTCTCCGTCCGTCTTCGAGGGCACGTCTGCAGTGGTCGCTGCTAACCCACCCCGCCAATCCAACGGATTCACTGATGTTGTGCAATGGGATAACTATACTTTATTCTTGCACGATCAACGCCTGTTCATCCAGTGGGTCCTTTGACTTTGGAAGACAAGACCATGTTGACTCAATGTCCTAGTGCCGGGGAGTTTCATACCTTCAGACTGCCGGTTCCCGAACTCTGGCTGGATATTTTCCAGAAGATGGTAGCTGCGGGTTTCAATGGTGTCAGGTCGGTATGTTGCGTATCAGCCCAGCTCCTTCGCTCATAGATTGTCTGCAGCATATACATTCACAGTATGTTCATGAACTTCCTTGCCCGTCATGTGTGCAGATGTCTCGCAAACTAAGTTATCGGTACAGTGGGAGTGATAAATCCCTCACCCGGCATCCTGGATTTCAACGATTGGAGGTCACTGCAAGCAATATATGAAGCTGCTAAAGTCGCAGGTATATTCGTCATCCTGCGTCCGGGTACGTAGTGCTCGTGCTCTGGACCCTACCTGATAATGAAATCTAACATCTTCTGTGCTCAGGACCCTACGTAAGGATATTTCGCTTGAAGCTTCGCCAAATGTTGTTTGCATCGTCCCTTACAGATTAACGGCGAGACGACGTCAGGAGGCATCGCCCACTGGATCACAAGTCAGGTCGCGGGTACTGTGAGGACGAACGCCACAGACTGGACGGCAGCTTACCAGCCCTACATCTCGGGCATCATCAACGAGAGCGTGCGTTATCAAGTGACAGAGGGAGGGCCCTTGTTAGCGGTGCAGATTGGTGAGTCTCTTGTCCGATCCCTCGAAGAGTCCTTAATTCATAGCCACCACAGATAACGAGAACCGCAATTCGCCGGATCCTTCCACTCAAGAGTACTTTGCACAACTCGAGAACCAATACAGGGAGGGTGGCATCGTTGTCCCGCTGTGCGTACTGCTACTCATATGCGCCGTATGGAGTAACTCGCTGATTACGTCTGCAGCACGTACAACGATCCTGGCATGCGCTCGGGGTTCATCAACGGTACAGGTCATGTCGATATCTATGGGCTGGTATGCGCCCCATGCTCGGATTAAGAGCATAAAAACTAAAGACTGACGTCCTACAGGATGCATACCCTCAAGGCTTCAATTGCTCGACGCCTCGCACTTGGAGCCACGTCACGACCAACTACCATCAGTATCACAAGGCAAACAACCCCAGCGAGCCTTGGTATATGCCCGAATTCCAAGGCGGATCTTTCGATCCGTGGGGCGGACCGGGATACGATGCGTGCGAGCTGCTGACGGGACCAGACTTTCAGGACGTCTTCTACAAGCATAATTGGGCCGCTAACGTGAAGATGATCAGTTACTATATGCTCTATGGGTGAGTGCTCGTGGGGAAGAAACGAGAGCTGAGTCTGTATATCAACGCTGGTCAACAGAGGGACGAGTTGGGGCGGGATTCCTTTCCCTGGGGTGTACACGAGCTACGACTACGGCTCCTCGATCCGTGAGAATCGTGCGCTTACTGACAAGTTCGACGAGGTCAAACGCCAAGGGATGTTCATCCGCTCCTCGCCGCAATTCCTGAAGACGGACTGGATAGGTAACTCTAGTTTGGGCATCCCCGGAGTGACGTTGAACGGGAGTGCTGCATTCGTCACATCGTTGAGGAATCCGGACAGCAACACTTGGTTCCATGTGACGCGGCAGGCGGACTCTACCTCGACGTGAGTCTTGTTCCGCTTCGACTACCATTAATGAAACTGATACAAGGGCTCGTAGAGCGAACATTTCGTTCGCGCTCACAGTGCCCACTTCTCAGGGTATGCTAACACTACCGCGGACGACTGACAGCATCGCGCTCAATGGTCGACAAAGCAAGCTCATAATCACCGACTACTCCTTCGGTGTCCACGGATCCCTCCTGTATTCAACCGCGTCTGTCTTCTTCGCAGGTACGATCGGCTCACGCGACGTCTTGTTCCTCTACGGCTTCGCCGACCAGTCTCACGAGTTCGCTCTCAACATGACTGGGAATGGCGTGCGGACGAGCTCTTCACGCGTGCAATTCGGCACATCGGATACTATCAACGACCTTACCACTGTTGCTATTGTCCCTGGATCTGCCGGACTGCTCACGATCTGGGACTCGGACAAGCAGCTCATCTTGTTCTCCGAACCTGTCACCGCCGCGTCGTTCTGGGCGCCAGCAATTCGGGCCGAGACCTCCAGCACTGTTGCAGGTCTGGAGAGCTACTGGTGGTTCGGAACAAACACGACCGTGCTTGTCGGCGGGCCGTACCTTGTACGCAATGCTACCCTCTCGCGCGATCGCAACACGCTCGCTCTCCGGGGCGACCTGAACGTGTCTGTGCCTCTTATCGTCATCGCACCGCCCTCCGTGCGCGCGGTATCATGGAATGGGAACCCCGTAGCAATGCGCAGCGATGGGAGGGGTGTTCTGACTGGTAATCTACAGCTGAATGCGGACATCGAGAATGCGAAGGTGCCGAGGCTGAAGGGGTGGAGGTATAAGGACAGCTTGCCTGAAATTCAGCCAGGATTCGACGACTCGGATTGGGTCGTTGCGAACCATACGACCACGAATATCTTTCAGAAGCCATTGTTTGGGGATGGAAGGGTACTCTATGGTATGTCGCTTGACATTTGTTTGGGAGGAGCTATCCTCTTCACTCTCTCTCATCTCTTCTCTCTCTCTCGAGCATCGGATGCTGAGCACCATTTCATTGCAGGTTGTGATTACGGATTGTAAGGTCATGATTGATATCTGGAATTCCACAACATTGAGTTATGCTAGCTGTGAGAACACCGTATTGTGGCGCGGACACTTCAATGGGACCGGGTCTGAGACGTCCGTCAACCTCACTATCTACGGCGGTACTTGTGAGTGTTCAATTCCCACTTCTATCCTCCCGTGCTTATCGTCGCCTGCACATCAGTCTTCGCCTCATCCGTGTGGATCAACGACAAGTTCATTGGCACAGTCACCAGCAGTGCTGATCATGTCAACGGCCTGTTTCCATTCCCGGAGGGAGCTGTGATCACTGGATTGAATAATGTGATCACGGTTATACAGGAGAACATGGGCAACGACGAGCAGGCGAACATCAAGCCGGCTCGTGGCATCGCCGGGTTCCAGCTTGATAGCGGGAACTTCACCACGTGGAAAGTCCAAGGAAAGATTGGAGGGTACACCAAGTCAGTAACATACTCGTGTAATTTGTGCACCGCTGCTCTACGCTGATACTATGGACATCCGCAGCTATCCCGACAAGGTGCGTGGAGTGTTGAACGAAGGAGGTCTCTTCGGCGAACGACATGGTTGGCATCTTCCCGGTTTCGACACTTCTGACTGGACACTGCGCGATCTGTCCGAAGGGCTACCTGGAAGTAGTGCCGGCGTTGGATTCTTTGTGACGACGTTCGACCTCGCGTTCCCCGAGGATACGGACCCATTCGTCAGCTTCCAGTTTGAGATGAAGAACACACAGCCATACAGGGCGCTCTTGTTCGTGAATGGGTGGATGTTCGGCAAGGTACGCTCTGGTACTCCTCAAGGGTTGGCCACGCTAAGTGATGGCACGAAGCGTGTGGCGAACTTGGGCCCGCAAACAAAGTTCCCTGTCCCTCCAGGAATTTTGGATTGTAACGGGAAGAAGTGAGTCCATACCCTATGACGCTCTGTAATGAGTCATTGATAATGTCTTGCATTGCAGCACGGTGGCGATAGTCCTCTGGGCTCTCGAGGATACTTCGGTATTCCCGACTCTGGACCTCATTGTTGACGACGTGTTGCATGGTGGTGTGGGTCCTATTCCACTGCACAGTCCTGCTTGGAAGCTCCGCGAATGATAGTTGAAAGTTATGATACAATGATTGTACTTGTATGAATATATACGAGCGAAACACGAGTGCACTCCCATTCTTAGCCGAGCACACTTCACAGATAAATATCTTGCTGTGGCACGAGTACGTACCATCCGTAGAGAGCCGACCAACATGCCACGAGTCCGATGCGCCAGCCAAGCCTACTACGCTGGTGGGCACCGTCGAGAGCCTTGGAGACGCCGAGGACGTCTGAGAGCGTCTGACTACCTGATTCTCGTGTCTCAGCTCCTCACATGTAGTTTGTCGAAGGGGCCTACCGATGATATGCGCACCGCTGCACTGAATGATGTTAGGTACCCCGCAAGTCAAGTTTAAGCGCTTCAACAGTGCCTTGACTCCGGCTCTCGCGCCGGAGCTCCGAGCTGGGGACGAGACCAGATAGGCGCCGAGCCCTTGTTTGTTTCCGACGCTCCGTTTCGCCTTGTCCCATCTGCAATACCCAACTCGCTGTTATCACTGCCTTATCATCATGGCCACTTTTACGGGGCACATTGACTCCCGACCTATTCCTGACATGAGGAAGATTCCTGAGTGGCTTTTGAATCATCCCGAACTTCACAAGCGGGGCATTGTTCTGCATAAGTCACTGCAACCTGTAGGTCATATCATGAACCTTCATTGCGAGAGGCTCATTTCCAATACTGATACACCGATGAAGTTCATAGTTTACCAAAAGCAATGGGCAGAGGAAGGTCCTGTCTATGTCGTGAAAGCTCTCAGAGACGGTCGGCCTGAAGCAGACTTTTTCGAGCTGTTCGAACAGTATTCGAGTTCTCCCACTGATCATACCGTACCACATGAGCTCATTAGATGTGAGCATCCCTTGGCGGTCATGCCCCGCCTCAGTCTGCTATCCAAGGTCCTCACCTTCAAGACTAGTTCCATAGTTGTGGCGTTCGATCAGATCATGGAGGTCCGTGAGGTAATCGCACGTACACCAAATCGCTGACGACGGCCACGCAGGGTGTCGAGCATCTTCATAATTTGCGTATTGCTCATGGAGTAAGCCTAGCCACAGTACTCAAAGATATCGCATGCTGACGCATGCCTCCCCAAGGATGTGTTTGGCTGCAATGTGGTCGCCGCCACTGAAGAAGACGCGCAACGTGATATGAGAGTGACCGCTGGCAAAGTGTATCTTATTGACTTCGAGAGTTGTCGGCAGTTTGCGCTAGGTCCTGGTGTCCAAGGTGCGGTTCCAGTGCCACCAGCTCATATCAGACCACCCCTGGGATTGAAGTCGTTTGATCCGTTCTCTTGGGACGTCTACTGTCTCGGCGCAACACTGGAAGTCATTCTCCAGGTGAGCATGCTTCACTGAGACATCCCCATGCGCCGCGAGTAATACTCGTTCCCTGATACGGAAGGAGAAGTTCTTCTGTGAACCGCAGTCTCAACCATGGATTCTTCGTTGGTACGCGCAGTGGCTGAAAGGCAACGAGGTCGGATGTACAGCCGCATGTCATTGCCGTCCCCGCATCAGAAGGGCACGACAAGTTCTCGCGAGCATCCGACTGATTGTCGACGTGGGCGAGGTCGTTCAAGCGGTAGTCACCTTTCCAACTGTTCTTAGCAACTCTTGGCTCAGATGAGTAGTCCACCCTTTGTTGTACTTGAAGCATCGCTATAATTCAGGACCGTGCTGGCTATGGTACCTGGTACCGTCTAGTCGTGCGTCCAGTTTTGGTGGCGATGGGTCACACAGTCAGGGCATCTGTCCGAGACTGGAGCAGTGGGCCGTAGATGGGCTGCCAGTGGCTTAGGAAGTCTTCAGGTGTCTTGGAAAGCCCAACTGCTCTGCAAAACCACGGTCTTCGTGAGGATCATGGTCAGAAATCGTCCCCGGTATGCTGCTTCAATCTCGCCTTGAACGCGGCATGTCCGGGCCGTTCGGGCCTGTCAACCTCTGATCATGGCTGCCTTTGCCATCCTTGTCGCCTGCCCCGTCCACGCGCTGTCCTCTGCCGCGATCCTCTCAAGAATTGTCAAGAATTGAAGAGCTAGAGCTGAAGCCCAAGGATGGAGACTATGATGCCCTGCCTTCTGGCAGGTTCTACGTCAAACCCGCCACCATGTCTCTCTCCAGATTCTGGGCACTGATGGTTGTAGTGAGTCCTTCTTCTCCTAGCCTCGTGCAATACCACCTAGTGCGCCGTTAGTCGTCCCTTGTTCCAATACCTTTCGTAAACCTATTCAAAACCTCAACCGCGTCTCCAACGCCAATGAACGTCCAAAGCTCGTACGTTTTGGGGTTGGAATCTCACCTTCTCTTTCGCCGCTTGTATTCTCCTCCTCTTTCGCTGCAAGACGATCCCCGCCTCCTGCAACTTCCACATTGCGTCTGCTGGCTGAGATCCTCATGCGCGTGTGGCTTCGCGAAGCATGGCATGCCTCAGCGGTTCGGGGCGTCGGCCAAGGCACGTACTATCTCCGTTGCACATGTGTGGCAGTACCGCCGGAATTGTGCACGCTCGCTCGCGCTTCTCTGCCAACTAAGCAACCGTGAAGTTGCTTCTTTCGTCCTCTAGGTCCCGTCCCTCGCGCGACTATCATGTATCAACCATTGGAGCATATGCTGCTCAACTTCCGTACTATGCCCATAGCTTGAATGATCAATGCTACCTTGTTCTCTCCTGGGCTGTGCGTCGACCACGATAACGGTCATACACTGTGGCCTTGATAAGTCATTCAACTCATGATTGCTCAGGTGTCTGCCGTTCTGTACGTAGTCACCAGAGAATTTTTCGAGAGGATTATACCTGGATTTGGACTGGCTCTTCATTGTCAGTATTGAGACTCTTCCTTTACGTTCCGCAGGTCGACTGACTACTGTCGGGTCATATCTTAAGACTGTCTTCCACGGAAGACACGATCTGTCTCACTGCTGGCGGCGGGCTCATGGGTTCTCAAGTCGGTCCTGGGATTGGACGCACAAATTTGAATCTCCTGTATGATGTGGGCCCGGATACATCCGACAGGAAGCAGTCAACCTATTTCAGGGCACAGGAATGAGATGCGCAACTCTCTGCAGGCGATTCCAAATCGCTCTCTTATCGCCTCCGAGGAACAAGTGCGTATATCACCCCATGTCCATGCCCAACTATCAAAATTCCACTGACAACCCCAAATTCCAGTTATATCCTTGTAGTACCACAGCGGTGTCTCTCACTCGCTTCACAAACATCACGCCTAGCCCATATATCCCTCATGGGTCTTCAAACCTTACCACCACCTGCGATCGTGCCATGCGTGCTGTACGTCTTGCACTCGCACCCCTTTGCTTCGTCCAACATCTCGGGAGCTCATAGTCTATGTCTCGCGCTGGACTTCCCTTCTGTCTGATACGGTCGTCACCTTGTGCTTTTGTGCCTGCATTGAAACCCTTCTTGATTCCCTCGACTCGCTTCACGTGCTTTCCTTGGACCCGATGGTGTGGGTTTTCTCCATTATAGAATGATGGACTTGTTCTTCCCATCGGCTCGATCGTGACTGAGATCGCTCCGGAGCACGCGGACTTTATTGACATCCTTCGTTCCGTTTGCCCTTTTCGGCAGCGAACTTACAGTGTCGGCTCTAATGCCATAAGTGTGTTGACGTTTTTAGCAGATCCTCGCACGCCGATGACATTACCTCCGGCCAAGTCTGCTCAGCGATGTCGGACATGAGACCGCTCCCATTTGAGGTCCACGTTGACCTTTTGGTGCTGGTCGCAGACTTCATTAGATCCGTTGCCCATGTCTCCGACGTTCTTTCCCCGCATTCATCTCGCACAACCCTGTACCGCCGTAGTATATGATGCCATTACCGGCAATTTGGAAGCCTTCCCCAGGCCTCGGACTTCATTCGCGCTATCCCCACGCTTCTTACGCATATCGTTCCTGACCCTGGCATATGAATTGATCAGTCGTTCTGAATCACACCCCCTATCAGATGCGCAGACCCACCTTGACAGAGGTTCGACATGGGCTACCCAATCGTGGAAGGTAACGCCGCACATAGATCACCGGGTACACGGGCTCGCGAAGTCTGCCAAGGATGAGCAGTAGAACGTAAAGATGTGGTCATTCAACAGGGGAAATATCGCGACTTTCACGCGTGTTTGAAATTGAAACTCCACTATGAAAGCCCTTACGTGTCTCAGACTCTTTTCGTTCCATGTTCATCTTGTTCGACAGGTGGCTGGCCTACCGGCGGCCCGTCGGCGCTTGAATTGCCGTATCTGGACGCGAACAGGTACGCAACGCCCATCAAAGTCTGTATAGGCTTTGTTCCGATTGAAGCCAAATGGAAAGCAACCGCGTGAAGCTGACACGCTCACTTGTGCATATGGAAGTGAGAGCCTTCCTCCGAGGTGCTGCTCAGGACGCGCGGTCCAACGTTCCCGAGGCGATCTCGCGAGCTCGCGCGGAGCATTCAGAGCGTCGGAGTACCATCCTGGAGATCTGTAACTAGGACTTGCGACTGCCCCGATGGCTAGCAATTCCTGTTCCAACAATCAGCGATGTCCTCATACGCTCAGTCCCGCGCTGTCGCCCCCTGACATAGGTTCGCGACCATTCAATCGCGCACATCTCACTCCCACCAGATACTCACCGCCGCCTCGCTTACAGACTCCGGACCGGGGTGCCCACTTCCCTTATCCGAATTCGCTGACCCCGAATCGCACAGGAACCTCGCCGCCCTCCCGGACCCGCACCGCTTCTACTCGTCACCGACCACGAGCCGAGGAGAAGACGCGGAGCGTGCTTAGAAAGGCGATTTGAGCGAGCCGAACCCCTTCGCGGGAGGCCGACATGAACGCGGTAACTCGCCGGCGGGTCCAAAGCTGCAGTGCTGAGCGCAGCCCTTCCACGCGACGGACGAGAGGCCGGGTATGAACTCCGCTCGGGGGCCTGCAAAGGCACGGTAGAAGGCGATCGCGACGCGCAAGCGTGGTTCAGGTTTGGACAATCTGACTTGCAAGCGTTCATACACGTACAGCTTTGCAGGGTCCCAGCTTAGACACTTCGAGATGCTCGGCATTCAAAGGCGTTTCAGGCGAGAGATAGGCTGCACATCGACGGCAGCCACCAGTTTGGCACGAGGGGGGTCTTTAGGTCATTCCAGCGCTCACCGATCCGTCCTAGTGCGAGGCTCCCGGCGCGCAGAGCATGCCGAGGGGACGAAATACAAATACCTGGATGATGGAAGGTGCAAAGAGAAGCGGAAGGCCGATTGTAACGCCCCGAGCCTAAGTATATATGTGGATGATGAGCAAGCGCTCTGGGGCGAAGCGTTATTCCGTATACGTATCAGTTGATCATGAAGCAGAAGACGACCTATGTAGTGGGATCGTGCCACCTTGTCACCGTCGCGAGTCGGATGGTGTAAAGCTGAGGCCGAGTTGAACCTTATCTTCACAGTTCCAAGCTCTCGGGGACATCTAGCAGACAACGAAAGCCCTCTCTAGACGCGTGGGTGCAATGGCAGAACAGGCCGGAATACGTCCGATCGGTGTTACGCACATTGTCAGCGTGGAGATTCCCAGAGGATAGAGCAGCGTGGACCAAAGTAGACACGGTGATAGCGGAGACAGACACGCTCAATTGGGTACACTCGACTCAAGAGAGAAAGTGCAGCACGCGGGGCTGCGAAGGGCTCAGGATACTGATACTGATACAAGTGATGGAAGCGACTTGACAGAATAACATGGAGGTGAAGTAGCAAAAGCCAAAGGTTTAAGTGCTGCTGCAGATCATGCACTGAACGAGCCACGCTTAGCGGGAAACGCGGCACGGATGCGACCGAACTCATTGTCCCCAAAAACGCGAGCCAAGATAGAGAGAACGGAAAATCGGCCAATAAGCGAGCCTGGGACAGGACATAAGTCGCAAGAGCAAGGAAGACGAATAAGCTGGCAGACTTGTATGATACGTGTACATTCCTGCAAATATCTGATATTGCGATAGCGATTGCGAAACGGATTGCGAAGGGATGAAAGCTGTACACAGGAGTGGCGGAGACGGATGATGTCGCGTGGCGGTGATCTGGACCCCGTAGACAATGGTGTAGGCGAGGAGACGACGAGCACGAACATGCACAGTCCTTGGTTGGATAGCGGCATATGTGGCCATTGAAGGTCGTGAAGGGAGGAGCTACACGGTGGGAGAGGAGAGCCGCACGGCAACAAATCGGAAGGGAGGATGGCGATTGAAGGGCGATCAGGACGAGCGATGGAGCAGAGCAACGGCCAGAGACGGACGCGGCACCCGGTGCGGGCGCGCGTAGAGTACGTATGCATTGGCTCGTGGAGCAGGGGCGGCTGGCTCAAACTCCCTACTGCCGGCGACCACTCGTTCGGAAGGTCTATTTCGCCATGGCCAGACGGGCACGCGCCGGGTGGAAGAAAGGATGGGAGGAGAGAGTAGTGGGGGATCGGGGCAGAGATAACATTGGTGTGGGGCGAACCGTCCTAACCTTCCGTCGCCCCACTGTGCTCCTCACTCCGGGGTTGAAGGACGAACGCGCGATCGTCAGCAGACCTGGGACAGATACTCGCAAGCATGGGAGACAGGCGGAGACGATGACTGCAGCAGGGAGGGATGGACTGGGGGCGCATCACATAGGAGTGGTGTTCGCGCGGCGTGCGCCGGGACGTTGGGGCGCGAGGCGCCATTGCTTCTCCCAGTCCTGGAGGCAGCGTACGAAGCCGGAGTTGGGCTTGATGCAGGCTCGCTTGCGCTTGACGAGGTCGAACGCGGAGTCGTAGGACATGTTCTGCGTGTAGATGAGATAGGCGATCACGACGGCGGCGGAGCGCGACACGCCCTAGAGGAAGGCAAGGCAAATAGGTGGTCAGACGCACGTCGGGGGCGTGGGAGAGAAGACGAGGGACGTACCTGCTGACAGTGGACGAGGACGTTGAGACCGCGCCGAAGCCTGTCGTCTATCCACCGGACCGTGGATTCGAGGTGAGGACGGAGGTCCGCGGACGTACTGTCTAGGATGTCTAGGCGGTAGCACTCGAGCTTGTTTCCCTGCGCGGCATGGGCCTCGACGGATGGGAGCCAAGGCGCATCGAGGACTTGGACGAGGGCAGAAATATGGTTGCTGGCGAGGAGGGAGGGGTCGAGGATCGCGGAGAAGGATCCGAGGAACAAGGCGCCGGTGCGCTGCTGGGGTGAAGCGGGCAGGATGAGGTGCATGGGCGTGCACATGGCCTGCATGACTTCTGGGGGGAGGTTGTCGAAGCGAATCATGATGTGCGATGGGCAGTGTATGAAGTGGGCTGTGAGGGACGAGGGATGAGTTGGAATGTTTTGCGAAAAAGAGCTCGTATATAAATTGACGGAGGAGTAGCAGACCGGATCGGGCGCGCCAGGTATCGACCGAGCACGTGGGGCGCCTGAGGCCAAGCATTGCCTAATTGGGGGCAGGGGATGATGCTCTAGACTGGGGCCGGTGCCTGTCTGCTACATAGCTGCTACCCGATCGGATCGTCTCCTCCGCCTCTCCTCTTCTTCCTCCCGTACACCCTTCCTGCCCCTTGCTGACAACTCCCGACTCCATACACTCCGCCCTGGCTACACAACAAAGTACACCGGTTCTTTCCCCACTCCGTCTCACGCCGTATTTCTTACCCTCTCTAGCAATCATTGTCTGCTCTCCGACGTGTCCGCCTCATCGTCCCTTCTGACCAACTCAGCCCTCTGTCGGTCTGATACACTGATCTAGATCTATACGTGATCTCACTCACACTCCATTACTCCGCCTCATCTAGCCCCGCACACGAATACCTGAGTCGCGGTCGTCAGCCCCACGTCACTTGCAATTCGTCCTTATCGCATAGTGCTTGCCTGATTGCTGTCCTCGAAGCAACGTCTACCCCGCACACACAATCGGGCCCGAGTCTCGGAGCGCCGGCATAAATCACCGATGTGCGGTACGGCGGGCGACCAGCACAGCTTGCGGATCGACATCGACCCGCTCGGATTCCAATCCGGCCGTGTCTCCCGTCTCCCCACTTCGCAATCTAAGCTTTCGCTGTCTATCGTAGACTGGGCCTATCCCGCGTGCACTGCCAGGGCCGATCCTTATTGAAAGCAGCCGTCGAGCCCCACCGGGGCCTCGTCCGCTCTCTTCTCTGCTCGGCTGACATGTCTCTCACCTCTTTCGTTCGACGACCGGTCTCGTCGCCGATCGGAGCGTACGACTCCTCGATAGGCATGCGCAATCCGTGTCGTCTACATACCCATTCGGCCACCCGCTGTCAATGTCCGTGCCATCCAGGTCGGGTCCAGCTCTCCAGAAGCTCTGTATCCCCTCCGGGCTCTTCTGTGGCGTTCCCGCGATAGCAATGGCCTGTACTGGCCTCCGCGTGCTGTGTACTCATTTACGTCCGGATTGAGCTTGGAGGACAGCTCCCGCCTTGCAAGCTTCATGCTTACGAATTACCCCGCGCTTCGCGTCACGGGCTCCACCGCGTCCAATCCCGTGCTCCGGTGTGTCCCTTCTCGCGCATCGCAGTCAGCGGTTCTTTATGCGCCTCCTTGATACTGTTTGCAGCTGACAATCTGTTCAGTGTGTCGTGCGGATGATCTTCGTGTACGTTAGGACTGAATTCTCGATGTCGCACTTTGCTCGATTCTTCGTCGTGTGTGACACCTCGAATACCTTCCGGTGCCTGTGCCTCGGTGGGATCATGCCAGATCATGCCACCCGATGGCAAGGTCATCGAGTGGTATGATGTCGTGTCCCACAACCAAGGACTGTGTACCGTGCATCGCCAATGCGACGTTTGCGCCGGGGAAAATCGAGTATGTGCATGACGGTACCATGACGAAGCAAAAATTCCCGCGAATGCCAGAATCTTGAGCCACCAGGAGTTGTAGCGTTCAGTAGCAGTCTTAGCGCTTCCACTTCCTTTCCTGAGAAGGGATGCTATGTACCACTACCTCGTTCAGCCAAGAGCATCAATCTGAAGCTAAGTGTCTCGTTCTACGCCATACATAATGACAGGGGTCTTCGTAGATCTACTTCCAATACCCATGAGATGGCATGCATCATCCCTTCATCGTATTCAGTTAGGAGATAAGGACGAACTAACTCCTGCGGCGCCGTCTCGAGGGTGCTCTTGGCGCACCAAGTGATTGTGGTGTATACTCCAGACTTGGATCACACCCAATATCCACCCACACATATGAGCTTCCGTCGTCTTCTGCGCCTTTCTCTGTCTCCACGGGCTGAGATGGGGCTGTCGAAGAGGGTCCAGCGGCCCAAAATCGGTGAACGTGAACTTCAAATGTTTCAGGAAGGGCTTTCCCAAGTGCAAGAACGCACTTTCTCTGAGGAGGTCGTCTTTGAGTTGCGTGGTTGTGAACGTGACGTCAGATCTCGGACCTTTGCCCTCGCATATACCTATGTCCTGGACTAATGCTAGGATGGTATTGGAGGTTAAGACGCTGCTGTCTCTTGGCGCGACCTTTGCAGCATAGCGCAGGGCAGCTCTCGCCCAAGGAAGGGTTCCTCGTTGGGCTTCGACAGCATTGATAGCCTCTTGCAGTATCGTGACAGTGTCAAACCAGCTTGTGCGGTCTCCGCATGCTCGACGCGGAGTGACAGCACTGTGCCCGCGCTCGGACGATTTCCGCTCGCCGTAGCCGTGAGCTGTAGAGGTTTCAATGGAGTGACGTCTTTCATCTGCAGGCGATGTCCCACTAGGCAAGGACCGCAGCTCAGCCTTGCATATGATGCCGAATTTTTGAAGACCAGGGCAATTGTTGACGCCATCACAGGTAGAGCTCGATGGTGAGTGGTCCAGCACCCAGATGGAGTCGCCTTTGGACGAGAGCAGCTCTAGCGGAGAGCTTGGGCGACAAAGGTAGTTTGTCAACCTTGCCGATTGGGGTGGCTGGTCCCGTTTGCCAGTGATTCCCTCAGGGAGGACGATTGTTATCTCGGCGTAGCGGTACATCGCCTCCGCCAGCTGCAAGGCAAATTTGCTCTCTTCGCATACTGGATCGAGGTCTCCTACGCCAAGCCAGATGTACTGTAACTTGTCGTTACAAACGTAGGGCGGCTGGCGACGGCCTGTATCCACTGCCTTTTTAATTGCGTGGAGAACATTGGGCCTCAAGCACCAGGATTCCCCCACGTTCCGCTCGAACAGGGACCCAGTCGAGATTGCGGCGAAGGTAGGGTACCTGTCAGATTCCGCAAAATTTTTGACGAACGAGTACGGATCCTCCAGAGTGGGAGGCTCGGTCCCGGAGTCCGCAGCGACTCTTCTAGGACAGTCTCGCCACAAATTTTCAACATCGTTGGCCGGTCCGACGTCGAACACCTCCATATCACAGCCGTCTGATGGGAGATGGCCGATGTTGATGAAACTGATGCACCTTTTTCGGCAGTCGTTATATGCGAATTCGTAGGCCAATCCTCCGTCGACCAGATACTGCTGTGCTGGAAGTACCCTTTTTCTCACTTCGAATCGAACCGAGGGGGGATGAGGCATGCTGAGGAGCGGCAGGATGGGTTTCGTATGAACACCACGATATGCAGCTTTAACTTAGGTGGCCCACGTTGCCGCCACAGAGAGGCATGACTGCATGAGGCACGCTGACAATAAGTCGGGGAAAATTCGTTCCAGAGGCACCGGACCACATAAGCGATAGCTAAAAATGGTGACTTAGCTGGTGAAGATTGCGAAGGAACTGGTGATTATGATAGATACTGAACTTCTGATCCACATTCGAGGCGGTACAGCTTACAAGTCTACATGTACACACAACGGAACGGTCCTCTGTTGTCTCGTGTTGTTGCGTAAAGCGTTAATACGATATACTTGAGACGCGTGGTCACATCACATCAGCAAGTCGTTCATGTTTAGGCGGAGGTTTCTTGCATCTCGACCCACAACCCGTTCTGAAGACTTAGGTGAACAAATAGCTATCGCGGTTGTCAAGCGCAGATTCAAACATACCTTGGCGTACGTCGTGAGATGACTCCGCATCCAGACGCGCTCGAGACCATCAACCGCATACGGGCTCCGTTCCACGCCCGGCGGAGGCATCGATTCCGGGTGGGCGTCCTGGCGCAGCTTGATGTCGGAGAAGCGCTGGAGGAGGCGGACGAGCATGAACGACGCCTCATTGTAGGCGAACTGGAGAATGCAGGCACGCATCAGCCAATTGTCCTCGGAACGGTCGAGCGCCGTAGTGACGGAGAGACAAGGAACGCTCGACAATAAGAGTGAGAGCGGCGGCGACGGACCTGTTGGCCGAGACAGATGCGCGGGCCTGCGTTGAAGGGCAGGAAGATGAACGGGTTGGGGACGAGGTACTTCTGGACGCGGTCGTCGATGAACCTGTCAGGGTCAAACGAGAGAGCTGCTCGGCGGCTGTGGCGTCAGACGTGTGTGGCGCAGATGGGCGAGCGGGAGGCGGACGAACCGTCTGGGCCCCAAAGGTCCTTCCTGCGGTGCATGAGCAGAACCGAGTAGAGGCACCGGACGCGGGGCGGGATGTACCAATCCGGTTGCCCGTCCGTCGGGTTCTTCCAGGTCATGCCCTGGATCGAGCACCTTCACAAGCTCATGTCAGCGCAGCCATAGCGAGCGCCTGTGGGCTGCTTACCGCGAGTTCAGTGGTCTGCGCTCTCCGCGTGAGCCAAATTGTACGCGACATATCGCGGATAGCACTCACACTGGGGGATACAGGCGCAGGACCTCGTTGATGAATGCGCGCATATACTTCATCTCCCGAATGTCGTCGTACGTCGGCCGCCTTGACGGCCCGACCACGTCCAGCACCTCCTCACGTAGCCGTCTCAGCACGTCCGCATGTTCCGCGAGCGCGAACACCGCGAACGTCAGCGTGCAAGCAGTAGTATCCCGTCCGGCGAGGAGGATGTTCAGCGTCTCGTCCTTGAGCACCTTGCCGTCTGTTCCCCAGTCAGCGTGCGTCCCACTCTTCGCGCTCCAGCGAAACTCACCGTCCGTGAACTTGACGAGGTGCTCGAGCAAAGTCTCGTCGTCCCGCACGTCCTTCTCGATATCCTCCTCCACACGCTGCCGCTCCGCCTTCTTCCGGAGCGCCTCGCCCACGATCGGGTCGATGAACTCGTGCACGGCCGCGAGGTGCTCCTCCACCTTGTCGCCCCAGAACTCGAACAGCGGCCACGACTGCAGGAACCGTCCGCGTATCGCCGTCGCCTCCAGCCCGTTCTGGAAAGCCTGCACGAAGCGATCAGCGGGGTGTACGCTCGACTTGTCCGCCCGGGTTGCATTGGGACCACGGTACGTGGACGGGTAGGGGATGGGCGCGTCTAGCGAGCGCACGTCCTTGCCGAAGAGGAACTCTGTCGCAGAGTCCATCGTGAAGCGCGACACGATGTCTTGCCAGTCGACGGGGACGCCCTCCTTCAGGCGGGAGGCCACCTTGTTGAGCGCATGCTCCGCATGCCTGAAGAGGTTAGCTGTGGACGCAGGGGCAGATGCTAGAACCATACCTATCAAAAATGTCAAAATGCGTGATCCTATCCTTGCTGAAGAACGGACGGGTCATTGTGCGGTGAAATCTTGACGTGTCTCAGCACCCTTTCGTGGAATTCGCATGGTGAACAACACTCACTTCCACATTTCGCCTTTGTGTACGGGGGTCAAGTCAGTGGACGCGCGCATCAATCAGGTCATACAAGAGGACACACCATCAGAGTTGAACACGCCAGACCCGAGGAGCGTATTCAGCTGTCCGAAGAGCAACGGTCCTGTCCCGACCCCAGCCTTTCAATACGGGAGCTTGCATATCGACGACGAATGGGATTCTCACCTTTCTCGTAGTGGGTGAACTCAGTCGCGAGCATCGTCTGCGCGGGCCGGCCCGAGGAAACAAGGTTTCATCTTGAGCTTCTCGCAACCATACCCGAGTTCGCGGTACACGACGACCACATACCTTGATATGCTCGGGCTCGCACGTAAACATCTACGCTTGGGATCAGGATTGGGCATATCGAGGACGCCAAGAATGGGCACGTACCCTATCCTCAAACAGGACCCTCAAGTTGAACGTGTTGCCGTACTTTTCGGTATATCTGAACAAGTTCTCGACTACACACAGCCACCGGGGAGAGAAGAAGACGCTCGGTGAGCGTATGCCTTGGACGTCCAATGTCTAGAGCCTCTACTGTCTCGCTTTCTAGACGCTGGCTAGAGCTCCTTTGGCGCAGGGACAGCACTGGTCCCGCTGACAAACGATCATGTCGCGAAACTCACCGAGGTACATCTTCGCGTCCTCCTGGAACATCCTCACGATGAGATCGACGCTCCCGGGCAACTTGTGGTCGACCTCCTGGGGGATGAGGGCGCCGCTGGCGGCGGCATCGCGCCTGGCCTTCCAAGCACGCCATTGGACGAGTGCGGTGAAGGCGAGCGGCCAGGAGAGCACGTAGGCGAGGATGAACAAGTACGAAGGGGGACGACGGGAGAGGTGGGCGGAAATGAGCTGGAGGAGGCCGTGGGCGATGGCAGGGGGGAAGATGATGCTGGGGAGCTGGCGGAGGAGATAGCGCGGGCCCGGAGGGAGTGAGGGCGGCATCGTGGGGGTCGGTGGGCGACTGGTGACTGTTCGAGCAGCTACTCTGGGAGAGGGCGGAGGGAGGGGCTCGGTGAGCGCGACGTCCGGGTAGGCCATGGCTCGTGATTGGAAGATGACAGCCTCTTAGCCCGACCTCACGGAATTGGACAAGACAAGCGTGCTGCTGCGTGTGTCCCCCGCAAGCGCTACCATCGCACCCTCCGCAGACGCCCTACCGCCCACGGGGTCACCGCTCATTGCCCCCAGCGTTTCCATCGTTAATGCTCATACCGTATGTTGCGTCCCAAACGCTCGAGCACAACGCGAACATTCGACGATCCCTCCCTCCGCCCTCTCCATTGCGCTCCGACCGGAGCCGACAAGTGACTGCAGGTCTTGATCGTTCCGGTTAGCGTTCTCGACGCGATCCGCTACTCATGGCCGTGAATGTATAGTGGTAGCGGGCCATCTCTCAAGGCGATCCAGGACTCAACCGGGCACATTCCAAAAGTCGCGCATTTATCGACGCTCCGCACAAGACTAAAGGCCGGGGATATTAGGAGAAACCTGACTGAGCGACTTCGGGCGTTCCCTTCACACGCACAAGAAGACCGATTTGGATCAGCAAGCGTACTTATCGGGACGGATCACAATGGCCGTCCTCGAGTTCGGCGATTGTTTCCCATACCCATCCGCATGTTCGCCGATTCCTGTCTGCCCAGTTTCGTCCCGTCCATTTCAACACGTTTACTAACATACAGACGCAGATTCTTATTACAGCCCATTCATCCGCTCTCAGTCAAAGTGTATCCCTCCATCTGCGATATACTGCGAAGAGACGTATGAGAGCACGGTCCACGATCGTCACAGAAAGCCAGGGCTGCACTCACAGTTTGCCCTGCGCAGAATGAACGAAAGCCAGATGAGAACGTTCCCACACCTTCCACGCCTGCAGATACTCACCGGTGACATAGGACGAATCGTCGGACACAAGGAAAGACACGAGACCGGCAATTTCACTAGGCTGCCCGATCCGTCCAAGCGAGTTCTGGAACTGCACAGTATACGTTCAGCACTCGACCAGCGGCGTAGTAAGGTATGCCGTCGAGCACTTACCGTGCTCTTCCACGCGCCCTTGGGCTGTCCGCCAACTTTGTTGTGATAGTCGTCAATCTCCTGGACTGCTCAGAAATACGTCAATCATTCTTCAGAGGGGGCGCAGGTACAGCAGACGCACGGAGCGGGGTATCGATGGTACCAGGGGCATAAGCGTTCACCGTGATTCCGTACTGGCCGTAGTCCAGTGCGGCGGCTTGGGTCAGACCCCGGACGGCGAACTTCGTCGCGCAGTACGCGGAGTGCTGCGGGAGTCCTACGAACGCAGGCAAGCCACGGAGCATCGTGAGTGCACACGCACACTAGTACTGCAGCGGAAAGGGTGGAAATCCGTACCTCTCTTGCCGGCAATGGACGCCGCGCCGATGATGCGCCCGCCCTTGCCTTGCTTGATGAGCTGGATCGCGGCATACTTGTACGAGAACCACACTCCCTTGACGTTGATGTTGAGCAGTCGGTCGAGTTCCTCGGTGGGCGCTGGCAGGATGGTCACACTGAGCTCTAACCAAAGGCAGATGGGAGGCGGGCCATACTCTCATGCAGGACACGATTGATCGCCACACCCGCGTTCGCGACGATCTACGAGCACCCCCGACTCAGCACAAACGCGTCCCTCGGGTGGAAGCAGGCCGATCTCGTACCGCGTAGAGCGACCCAAGCTCCTGCACGACCGTGTCGACCAGCCGCTTCACGTCCTCTTCCTTGGAGACGTCCCCGAAGACGGTCGCGACCCGCGTCTTGTGCTCGCTCCGCAACGTGTTCGCGAGTTCCTCTAGCCGGTCTTTCGACCTGGGCAGATCGAACAGGCCCAACTCGTAGCCGTCCTTGGCAAGCCGAAGCGCAATGCCTCGTCCGATGCCTTCGGCGGCCCCGGTTATGATTGCGACCCGCTTCTCGTTCGACGTCGGCGCGCTCATGCTGGATTGCTGGTGGGGGAGGATGGGAGGCTTGATGGGAGGCTTGATGACTAGGACGCAAGATTCTCAGTCTCGTTTTTCTATCCGGAATGCATCCTCTGTGGCGCCCTCTAGTGCGTCCTCTAGCGCGGGTGCCCAAATGTTCAAAGTGGAAACATCGACCATGGAGCGCGGTTGAGATGCTGATGCTGATGCTGAAGACATACCGACGCGCAAGAGACAACGGCCTACCGTCTCGTCATATGGTCTGGCGTGGCGGCCGAGCCGACAAGGAGCTTACCCCCGTGCGTCCACTCGCCATCAAATGTCGCTAATTAGCAGCAACAAAGACCACGAGCGGGAGAGCCATCAGGCCATATGAGCGGTCATCTGCTTAAGTCCAATGCACCTGACCACCTAGTCCCTTAGACTAAAACTCCAGCAAGCACGCGCCGTTGACCGTGAGTCGATCGGTTGTGTCCATCATATGACGAACCTGTGACAAACAACGTCACCACTTCCATGTTGCACCTCATACTCTCGAGTATTTGAGTGTATGACAAGTAAATGACGTCAGGTTTTGATCTACATCAAATCCTTAAGAATGCGCACTCGGTATGTATTCCACGGCAAAGTACTAGACGAAGATGCAGCCACAAGCTAAGTCTGATAGTCCGAGTGGACAGTGCCCGGCGGGTGATATTTACATATTTAGTCAGCGTGGCAAAGAAGTAGTGTTAAGACGTGTGTAACCCCTCTCGGTATTTATTGTGCACATACAGTGATTAACGGGTCCTTGGGACAGTCAAATCGTGGTCCCTGTATTATGCCGATCCCTGTCCCTTCTGTTCAAATCGAAGTAGGTAGTTATATAAAGCATCACATGAAGTATGCTCACCTGTAATTGTGGGATGAACCAAGGGCGTATGAACCAGATCGAAGGAACTGTTGTGAGTTTTCCGTTATCGTGCGGCGTGCCTCCATGGGTCCTTGGGACAAGCGCTTAATTTCCTTGTAGAGATGAGAACGCTTCTAGCCGACGTTAGCCGAGGCCCGATATGGGTAATTGACATATAAACGCCCGGCCCAACGAGCGAGGGACCACTTGTCCCACCGTTGAAACGAGTATCCAGGCCCTCCCTTCGAATATCACCTCAAAACGCTGGGAACAGGATGTTATGAATGCAATGTTTATGCATAGCCAATTTTAAGAGAATCAGTCATCATAAGCATGCATGATCTTGTCCTGATTCAGTCACACAATTGCTTTTCTCAGGATTTCCTCTACAAAAATCGGGGTAGCGACTTCATGAATCCGTCTGATCACCTGAAATTCAGGGGCGGTACAGGTGCAAGGATATTATATACATATATGAATTATTTCTGGTCAGTGCATTGGGAGGGGAGCGGCAAATTGGGTAGTGTCCCAAGGACCCATGGTGTCCCAAGGAGCCGTTCATCACTGTATATCATAGTTTGAGACCCCGCAACAGTACGCATTAATGGGGTAGTGGTAACCTGGGTCGTTGCCATCGACCCGCCGGGGGTTCGATTCCCCCTCAATGCATTATTGGGTTCAACGGGTAATTGTTTTGCCAATTCCGTAGATGAATCAGTTCACCTAGGGGGCTTTACTGTGCATATACGCGCAGAGCAAAGAATGTGTCCCTATGAGCTGCCCGAAAGTGACCAGTCTCATCTAGTCAGTTTCTTCCATGGGGCAAAGGTGTTCACAGACACTCTAACACAGAACTCCGATCATGAATTCATCGCAATTTGAACCTTAGCAGATGACATCGCCGAAGCTTCGAGGAATCATAGTTGCGATTTGGGGAATCGAAGCCGAACGTGGTACACGGATAGGTCTCAATACACATACATGGAGTGGCGCAACAGGCGGATCCCCTGACTTCTGATACACTGCTTCCTACCTTCGGGCAGAGCTTTCAGCCCCTTGTCTTCGCGCCCATCCGCGACAGATTGTATGCAGCGGAGATAAGCGTGACATGCCTAGCGGTGCCAACACAGGGTTATCACACCACTCTCAAGAAACCACTGGGCAGCCAAGGACGACGTACGTGAACCCTTGGACGGCGTTGCCCAACGCGTCCCCAGCGGCCGAGATCTCCTCCGTGCACAACCCAAGATGGTTGCCGTATTGCAGGAAGTCCTGTGTATCTCGACTGAGGTCACTGGTCTGCGGAGGGTGTGCCCCTGTAGAGCGAGAACGCACCTCGAACATTGCGACGGCCTTGTTGAGCATCGCTCTGTCGTACTCCCCTGCGCGGGCGAGCGCCTCAATGCACCTGAGTGCACGCAACATAAAAACACAAACAGAAACAACCAGACGCGTCGATAGCAGCTCACCAGAGGGTGCAGAGACAGAAGGTGCCCTCCTCTCCGCCGACGCCGTCGTCCGTCTTTGATACATCGTAGCGGTAGACGAGACCCTGCGACCGTGTTACTATGAGCTTGTCGAGCGCAATACATATGTACAAGAGGCCCAACTCACATTCGACGTCAAACCACCGCGCTCGGGAGACATCAAAACAGCCTTGAGCGTATTCAAGAAGCGCGGATCGGCCTGTAACCAGTGCGATCAGCATGCGCGTTGCTGCGAAGCCCAATTATCGCTGCAGGTCGCTTACGGGCGTAGAGAAGAACACGAGCGGCATGATGAGCAGCGACGAGTCGAGGATGTCCAGGTCCTCGTAGCTCTGCGCAAAGAACTGCTTCTCCTTGTTGTACCCCTTCTGCATGATGTCTTCATAGAGCCGGTCCCGTGCCTCGTACCAGGCAGTGCGACGCAGGCACGGGAGAGAGCGCTTCTCTGCGAGTCGGATGCCTAATGAATAAGTCAGTACCATCGATGAATGCGGGGCGCACAGATCCCCGCTATGCAGAGCAGAGACGACTTACCACGGTCGATCGCGACCCACATCATGACCTAGATGTTGATAGCGTCGATGTCGACCGTTATCAATGAGCATGAATGCTTGCCTTCGAATACTGAGAGACCGCACTGTGGTTAGCATCTTGTTGCAGTGCTTGGGTGTGATCCTTACCGTGAAGTGTCTATGGCGGTTCCGGACTTCCCTGGAGACATTACGATAGTTCAATAGCTCGTTAGGGATGAGGATTTATGGACAAACACACCATATGGACCTGTGAAACGGTCAGTACGATGAGAGGGCGGAGTAGACAGGACAAACATACAAGTCCGGCTCATCGACATGTGCGATGACGACTGCATCGAATAGCGCTTAGGTGTGAGGACCCCGCTCAGAGTCTGACTGCTCACATTCTACGCTGAAAAGACGACACGTCCGTCAGGAATCGTTTCAATCATCGTTTGGTCGACTTTGCACATACATCTCGCGCACGGCGACCCTGGGATGAACGGCTATCAGCAAAACGCAGGGATGTGCATCCCTAGTGGGTGTCTCACCAAGTGTCGTACCCCTTTCCTCGAACGGATCAGCCGCAGATACGAATATAGATCCATATGATTGACGTACCAAGGGGCGTCCAAACTATGGCGCAAACGCTTGAATGCTTGAAAGTCGAGAAAGACGGACAGAACTCACCTTCTGTGAGAGGTATATACAATCCATACTGTAGGAGCATCTCCATCAGCACTGGCCTATGAGGGAGAGGCGCATACATACAGCTCGCCGTAAATGTCCTGGTGAACAGGGGGTGCATGAGCGAGCCCGGATGCTAGCAGGAGCGCGCACGGAGACACACCAACTGTACGTGATCTATTGCGCCGTTCCCAATTCTGGAACGCGCAGCCGTATCAGACGATGCCACTCGTGACGCCTCCAAGGACACAGGCGCACCGTACGGGCTTCGATCCCTTGTAGCCATCAAGGTGCCATAGCTCTTCTTCCGGGAACTCTTTCTCACCTACGTCGCGACCTAACGTCAGCCACGCCGGGCGTATAAGCGCTTGCAAACCGACTCACCGTGAATAGTGTACCTATGTGGCGTGGACCATTCCGAAGCAACGCGAGTGTGAGCGGAGACCCGAGCAGTCCGGAGAAGATCAATCGTACATGATCTTAAGCGAGCCGTCCGGATCCCGCGTACGCACGCGCTCGAAGATGAACTCCATGTACGCTGTAGGGCCACGGGTGTATCAAAGCACAAGTCGATCATACACGCGAATAGTGCGCACCGTTCGCTTCATAGGTGAACCCAAGTCGGATGAGTGCGTACAGGATGAAGGACGAGTCGCGGATCCAAGAGGCACTATAGGACCGCGGTACAGCTCTGAGAAACGGTAATAGCAGAGCTTACGGCGGCCGCCGACGCACCGGTAGTCCCAGTTCCTCGTGCCGCCGATATACTCTGGGAGGCTGAACGTCGGGCTCGCGATGACCGCCCCAGTGGGCTCGTAGATGAGGAGCTTGAGCGCGAGCGCGCTGCGGTTGACGGCTTCCTTCCACGAGCCGGAGTAGGTGGAGCGGCCGATCCAGGACGTCCAGTACCTGTTCGTTTGCTGTGAGGAGTCGATCAGCGGGACGGGTTGTACGGGACGGCAGCGTGCGCACCTCGAGAAGTTCGCGCAAAAGCTCCTACGAAGGTAGTAATGGAGCGTCAGTGTGATGCCGAGAGAACGAGGACGAGGAGATCGCACTTTGGTCAAGATCGGGTCATCCCGGGGACGGAGGCTCGACGCGCCCGCGACAAGCTCTGTGCAACCAAGCTCTCGCGTCAATCGGGATCTCTGAGCGCGCGATGACCAACGCACTGTCGTACGGCACGCCCAGTTCCCTCGCGGTCTTGTGCGTCGGGCGGGCCTGAGCGGGCAAGTGGACCTCCGGCGGGGTGCGGAGGACGAAGGTGAGGACCTGGCCCTCCCTCAGCGTGATCTCGGTCCAGACGCCCTTGCCCTTGTGCCCCTTGTGCTCGAGGTCGAGGTAGTGGAACTGAACCTCCGGGTCGGGGAGGTCGTCGAGGACGTGCTCGGCGACGTAGCGGAGGTCGAGCTTGAGGTTGGCCTCCTTGGAGTCGAAGACGGCGGTGTGGTGGGGGGCGGTGGGGGAGTCTGCGGGCTCGGCGGCGGCGACGGAGGTGTCGATGTCGATGTCGGTGGTGTGGGGGGAGCGTGCGTAGTTGAAGGCGGGGGCGCACTCGACGCGGAGGGGCATGGTGCCGCGGATGACCTCGACGCGGCGGATGAGCCATGCGAGGAGCGGGCGGGCGGTGGCGCTGCTGGGCTGGCGGGGGAGGTAGTCTGAGGAGGGGGGTGAGCTCGAAGGATGAGGCTTGCGCAGGGCGTGATGAGACTGACCGGTGACGGTGGCTACGCCTTCTTCGTTGAGGAACCTGGAAGGAGGTCAGTGGGAGTCTGGTGTGAGTGGCGCGATATGCACTTGGTTTGGAGGATCTGCGAGGTTCAAGTGAGAAGGCAGGTGATCTGGACAGACGAGAGGCCCTACGTTTGAGTTGGGCAAGTAGTTCTGTTTGGTGGTGAAGGGCTTGATTGGGGTGATGGAGAAATGGCCACCCTAAGTTGGGCGAGATGAGGGGTACATGGTGTACTGAACGAGATTGAAACGGACCTTGTCCTTGTCGAGGATGCGGGCAAAGACAGAGGGAGAGTCGAAGTTGGGGACACAGTAGCTCTCGACTAAGGGGGGATATTAGGGCATACGTGATGGGAAGACACACGGGATGATGGCGGGGTTGGGGAAGAGAAGGATGGGACGGGAGAAGAGAAGGGAGGCGGAAGGGACTGACTGGAACCATCGATGCTGACCTGGGATGGAGAGCAGGAGGGGGTGAGAGATTAGGGCTGATAGATGAGGAGGGGACATACGAGGGCAGCGGTGCGCAGGTTGCCAATTCTACACGAAGGGGGTGTTAATGAGACTCGAGGGGAGGGAGGGGGTGGGCAGGGACTCACAAGCCATGGTCGGCGATGGGGAGATAGTCTCTGGATTCGGGGTTGGGCTGGCAGACGTTCATCGCGAACGTGGATGCGGATTGGGACATCGTCAGCGTGGGCTTGGGCTTGGGCTTGGGCTTATAAGTCGCGGGCGGGAGCGAGTGTGGGCTCGCAGTCGCAGGGTTCACCGTCGCAGGGCTCGCAGTCGGCCTCAGCCCCGGCCATACGCGCAGCTTCCCCACGTGATCGTGCTCCGCCTCCCACCAGCACCGTCTCACTGGAGTATCAATGACTCCCACCCTCATCTTTTATGGACGCCATTCGAACAAAGCAGACAGTCTTCGTCTTTAACTCGATATCTATGACGTATTGCGCGCGTCGGCGGCACCACGACAATTCTCCATGTCCCGTCACATCTTATCTTCAATTGCCGGTTTCTTCAGCAGATACCAGTCCTCTTCAACAGTCTTGTGAGCCCCAGACAACCCCAGAACACCGTGAGCAGTCTGAGCATGCGGGGTTCCTTCTTGTTTCGCGGATTGGATCAGATCTAAACAAGTTGGTCTCTAAGCTCGATATCACCTCCTTCCACGAGGGAGCTCACAACCGATTCCAAACCCCCAGTGACCGGCCGCCGACCTCCTCGAGGAACCGCACTACGATCTCACTCCCGAAGCTGCTATCTCGCAGAAATCCGACCGTCGTCCGGCGCAGTCGTCTGTTTGCGAACGGCTTCACTCGAAGCGTGACCCTACTATCACCCCACCCAGAAAACTCGACATCTGATAGAGACGAACCAACTGTGATCTTTTGTAAAAGGCAAGGTGCCGTCCTCTGAAATGCAAACACGCACGTTCTGTAATTCTGTAGGCGGTCTCCAGGGCACAAGGATACTACCATCTGAGGTAGACGCCTGTCCACCAAGAATATCCATCTTGATGTCAGACGGGGGACAGTCAAGCCGAATCGACTTCACGGCAACCTCACGATGGTCACAACAGAATCTCCCCCCTCGCCACTCCCCTTGTACGTACTGCATTCACGCTAGTGTGGCGTCTTTACAGAAATCAGTGTAACAAATGATACATCTGCTTGTGTCTCAGTCCCCGTGAGCAAATGGCACCAATAGCTCCAACATATCAAGATACGAGTCTCACAAGCTTCGAGCTGGAGAGACCGGCTGCTTACCAGCAGGAAGGATCCAATAATGTCTGACGTTCCTGCAAACCTCAGATACGAGGTTTGCCCATCGCACTATAGTTAGCACCTGCCTCGCGCGATGCGCCGTTGGACGGCAACGACAGGCGGCCTTGCATCCACGTTCATTGCCAATCAGCCAATTCACGTATAGGCGAGCTATACTAGCAATAGGCTTCTCGCGATACATAGCCTTGGAGGAAGTAGTCAGTGAGAATTCCTCGGTCAACAGTCCTACCCGCAGATAAGAGCGCAACATGTCTCCTATGCAGTACACATCCCAAGAATAAGGATCCAATTGCGTGATGCCAGGAGGGTGGCGGCAGACGGTGTCGGGTAGAGACACAGGGCCTTGAACACCGGGCTTCAGCGGGAGTCGCCGCGACCGGTCGAAGTCGATGATATAAACCCGTCCAGCCTCCACGCGACGTGCCTCTTGTTCCGTTGCTGCGAGGACATTGCCATCCCATAGATCCTGAATCGAAGAAGTCTACTGAGCTTGCTGATCAGGACGTGAAACATGAATACGTACCATATGGGCGATTCGCTGGTCGTGCAGATACGCCACTCCCTGAGATCACGTTGTACGTGAGCCAGGACGTCGCATAGAATTGATCTCAACTGACCTCTAGAATTTGGTCAATGACATCCAGTATTGAGCTGAGCTTTGGATTCAACACCATGTTCACTGCGTCAAGTCGCGGCATGATCGCCAGCACCTTGTCGGAACGAACCACTTCACAAGGTATGACGTGATTCACGTGTCTACCGCTGCGCCATCGCATACGAGACGAGCGTAAGCTGGGTGCTCTCCCGGTGATCGCGAGAGACCGAAACTCTCAACTTTCCACGATCTCTGCATCTGCTCGAAAGACAGAGCACTGGTTCTGCCTTCCTGTCACTTGTCGCATTCCCCCATTGGTCTCGCTGTTCTATGTTCTCTACCCACGAGTCTACCCGTCTACACGGATCCTATGCTGATACCGGCATGTAGTGTCTTCTAATCTTTCTAATGAGGCATGCTCGTTGAGTTTCATCTCAGAAGTGTGACCTTCCCGTAGAGGATTCATTCAGAGCATCGAGCAGAACTGCCCCAGGACTGACCGACAACCCGGCGGCGCGCCACCCCATTATTCACGGACGCTAATGTACTCACACCTGTAGATTATCTGAAACGTACATCCTCTTTCTGTTACGGAAGAACGGCCATGACTCATCTTCTATCAGTGAGCAGTCGATCTTCGGTCGAGTCAAAACAACAAGCAGTTTCGTCATCAGCCAGATTGGGACGGCGTGTGAACGCGTTGCGGGCGCCGGTGGCGCGAAGCATCGATGACCCGCTAGACCTGAAGCAGCGGACTTCGAGCGCGATGAGGAATCAGTAGCGTGCGTGCGGCAGCTGGGACGAATCGCGACTACCTCACTCGAATAAGCAAGCCTGTATCTTGTGTTCCATGTGATCCTCGGATGGCGGGCGCAGTGGCAGGAAGGGGGAACTTCGCTCGCTCATCATCTCAACGCTAGGAATAGCCGGCGCGGAACGATTATCGCCGTGGTGGGGTCATCTTTCTCTGGGCATTTCATTCTTTGGTAGTGAATAACTGATTAAGCGGCTGAGGTCTACGTCTGCGAAGCGGAAGGGAAAAAGACGAGTGGCAAGGCAGATGCGAAGCCGGAGAGGACTCAATCTCCGCCTGACCCGTGAGACGGTCTCCATTGAAGACAGACAATTAGAATATTTTATGACATCCCGCGGTACGCCGTCAAATCTTCTGAGCACCCACTGATTGAACTGATTGTACTCCTCGAATTTGCAACCTGAGGCTCCGAAGCATCAAGCTTCGGTCCTACACGAGTCTGACGGGCGGCCTCAATAGAAGCATGATGGATGGCACAACCCGTGGCACCATCCTAGGAATCCTGCTATACCGCTGTAACCCAACTGCCGCCGGATCCCCGCCGTCAAATGCGATGCGATTTTGTCTAGACATTGGAAAGCAGAATCGTCCTCCTAGATGGAAAGCCATATGATTCATGGACCTTCGGGTGGTCTCCGCTTCCAGGGCACAGGGTCTCAGGTATCGCGATCGGAGCTGAAACCCGTAAGCCTACGCTCACGGCTATATAGCTGACGGTGAATCATCCCGACTTCGTGGCAAACTACCATCTTTGCGACTTATTCTTCTTGTGCGCCATTGCCTTTGTATGTACTCCTTCACTACTTCTCGGGCTGTAGAATCCGCTGACTCGTCGAACCGCCAGGAATTTGCACAGACAGCCGCTGGCATCATGACTGACCCGGTTCTCAAGCATATTGCGGGTCATATCGTTGGTATGGTCGACGAACTCCCAGAAGTCTTCGTGACTTACGATGCACGGACCTCGAGAACTGGCAAGTTTCGGGTCGGGCAGATCGATTGCGTCTTCATCAAGTTGCCTGGTTCCGCGCAAACTGCGCACCCACCATGGATCAATTATGAGATCAGCACCACTTATGCGGCTCCGGTTCCAATCTGGGTTTTGAACCCGTCTCCTAACACCCAGCTCAACAGAGAGGGTCTGAAAAGGGCACTCGAAAGATACCGGGATTCCCCCACAGCCGTCATGGCCCAATATGACCTCAATCAGTGAAGAGACGTCGGTGTCGGTAAGTCTCATCACTTTCCCCGGTGCTCATGAGCTCAGCACTGACGATCTCGCTCACCTTCGTCCAATCACTATCAAGACGTGCAACCCGTACTCGCCCTTGCGATCTGCTTTTTAAGACTTTGTTGCTCTGTATACAATATATAAAAACAATTTCATCAGACTGTCGCAAAAGATGCTTGAACGCAGTGCTGCAAGTTGATCATTTCGTCGCTTAGGTGAACTCATTGTCCACATTGGTGGGATCTGCCTGATAAGAAGCTTGAGGTCTATTGTCGTGTCCATATTGCTTCCTAATGCATGCAGTCTTTGGAATAATAGTGAATGTATACGGCATAGCACGGCTAGCGACATCCCATGATCTCGCGGACTATAGGTGTCCATTGTCCTGAGCAGTCGAAGACTGTCGCCTACGTATCATGCTGACCGCGGAGAAGATGTCATCGCAACGTTCTGAGGCATTGATTACCCACCGCACTATGGTCAGCACCTGTCTGGCTCGATGTGCCGTAGGGCGGCAGCGACAGACACCGCTGCAACCACGCTCATCACCGATCAACCATTGCGCAAATCTGTCCACTATACGGGGCAGCGGCTTATCGCCAACGATGGTCTGCGATACCGTCATCAGTCAACTACATGGTGGTATTGCGACGCAACGCACCTCCAGGTACTCGAGGAACAGAGTTCCAGCACAGTAGACGTCCCATGAATACGGATCTAGGTGCGTGATGCCATTGGGATGACGGCACACAGTCTCTGGCAAAGCAACTGCGCCTTGGACACCAGGCTTCAAGTCGAGCTTGCGCGAACGATCAAAGTCGATAATGTATAACTTGTATGCCTTGAGGCGTGGGTCGAAAGCCGCCTCTCGATCTGACGTGGCGCGCACATAGGATTACACAAATCCTGGCAACATAGTGATGAGCGTCGTACCGGCG